GCTCATGATGTCAATCACTGGATTGTCCAGTCCAGACTCGATTATTTACAGACCTCCATGATATACTATAAATACTATAAAATTAATACATGTAGTACCAAATCATAACATTCAAGAAATGATAGTTGATAAATTGTGATGTGTCTTTCTATTGCACCATCCAGCTGGCAGTTTCACCCCAGCAAAACGCTAACATGGAGCCGATCTCCATCCGCTGTGACACACACCTTGCGGTCAAGGTGGAAGGGATTGTACAACATGGTGAACGACCCTGTCTGTTCCGGACAGCTCACTCCGTCAGCATCTCGGCCACATCAACTCTCCAGAGTCGCAGCACCCAACCAGGAGCCAGCACCAAGGTAGGAAGAATTCTTGTGTCCACTGTTGTTTCTCGTGGGGATCATGGACAGAAATTCATTTCAACCAAAGCATCGTGGCGTTAAAGCCATCCTTATTAGCAACCAGAATTTAGAACAATTTGGAGGCTGTTCCGTTTTCTGTCTAAACTATTTGGGTGAGTTAGCTTTCACGGTCAATTTCTCTCCTGGTGTATGATAGGAAACATACAAATTTATATTTTTGAGAATCAGACAAGAAAATATATCAATAACATGTCCTTACATGACAGAAGAAACCAGGGGAGAATGGGACCCAGCACCTCAGGCTTATTGTTAGAGCCTATTTATGAGGATTGGGTGGTCACAATGCATGACGTTCTCCTGATGTGTTATACCCCGACGGCATTGGTGGTTCATGTAACATCAATGCATTGCAGAAGGGGGGGCGGCCGGGTAGCCTAGTGGTTTAAGCGTTCACTCGTCACGCCGAAGCCCCGGGTTGGATTTCCGACATGGGCACAATGTGTGAAGCCCATTTCTGGTGTCCCCCCACCATGATATTGCTGGAATATTCCTAAAAGCGGCGTAAAACCATACTCACTCACTCACATTGCAGGAAAATTGCCGGCTGTAACACAAGATTCATATACCTAATTGCCTGTCCCTAATGTATTTACAGGCCATCGTTATGTTGCAGGACTATTGCTGTGAAAGACAAGATTCATTCATGAACATCTTTTGCTTGTAGGGGAATGAGATCACATCCAACTTCCTGACCCAGACCGTGGAGCCTCACAATGACTACTTCAGTGTCAACTTCCTGTTGCCCTTCCCAGTACTTGGCATCCACACGGTGACCATCGATGCCTCCATTGTTGACATCAGTGGAGCCGTCTGGCAGACCGGGCCCAAGGCCATGCTTACGATCAAGTCTTATGATGAGGTGCTGCAGCGACAGCAGCAACAAGCCAGGTACCAGTCTCGGTCGGGGACATCGTCGTCAAGCCTCAAATAGTGCTACTCATTCTCATGAGAACTCGTCACACTACATTTGATCATGAAACACATCATGATGTTGTGTACTGTTGTTTCATACAATAAATCATCTAAAGTATCTTTCTTTCATTTTTGGTACTCATTCTGTCGACCACTTAACACAGTGAGGTGAGGTGAAATTGGGTTTAAAGGCGCGTCCAAGATTATTGCACTTATATAGCGACGTGCATGCACGTGTGTGTGTGTGGCTGCTTGTACTAGTCCGGACTGATGCCGATTTATAGTGCTAGCTCACTGAGATACCATGCCGCAGTTTAACATGAATACCCCACTCAGACACAGTATACTGACTCCGAACCGACCAGTCCTTGTTTTAGCCCCTTAATGTCGAGCGCCAGACAGGGTAACAACAAGTACCGTCTTTTAATGTCTTTTGGTATGAAGCGGCCGGGGATCGAACCCCGGACCTTCCGCTCTCTGGGCTGACGCTCTACCACAAGACCACGGAGGCGGCACACTTAACACAGTGACTACATGTTGTAGAAATAGGAGTCATAACAAAGTTAGCTGTATCTCTGGGCCTGGAGCAGGCAAACACGGTAACTTTGATCTGACTTCATTCAAACATGCGAGTTATTAAAGTACTGTCTGAAATGCTAGAAAAATGCTTTTCTGGCTTCATTTAATAAATAGGGTCATAGGGCTATGAAAATAGCATATATCAAAGTAACGCAAATTGACCTAATCTAACCTATTCTGACACTGCGATAACCCTTAAAATGTACTTTCACAGGTAAAATAATGATAAACTTAGTAAATATTTGTGTGTTGTCATGCATGTATGAAACGGCCTATAACCTGAGGTAATTACCTAACACCTGTCCTATGGTGATGACCTCACACCGGCCCGTGCATTCTCCCAGGTTGGGTTGGGGGTGGTCTCAAAATATTGCTGTTATTGTACCTAATTCACATGTGCGTTGATGGGGTAGCAATGTAGGATATGTACTGGATTATACTTTCTTGGATAAATGATGGAATAGTTAAAAGCTATGAAACGGGATGTGAAGTGGAAGGTTGCGGTTTTGGAATCAAGAAGTATTTGTTTTTCTATAGATGATTTCTTGAGGTAGCATCTATCTCTGCTGATGACGTATATGAATCTGTACTATCACCCAAAGGTATGATAACTGGTTCAACAAGGCTGATATCTAGCAAAGACTGCCTTGATCCTCCCTTTGACATGTGCGAGTTTGAATGTTGTGTTATGTCTTGCCCAGACCTCTGTACAGTCAGCCAAGATAGGCTCAACTGGGTTGAGCAGCCAGCACACGTCTTGTACTTTACTGGTTTCTTATTCAGCCGAATTTTCTCCATGAACTTTCGTTTCAGATGGTCTGAGGTGATCATCAACTCATGGTTGGCATGACTGTTCCCGGACGTTGTATTAACTGGTATTAGCCATGACAATGACACTGGGGTTGTTTAAAATGGGCAATAGCTGATGTTCCAACCAGTCTATGAACATATCTCCTCCTATAATTTCCTTTTGGAAATCACCAGTTTTCTTTTTCACCTCGAAAACACATCCATCGATACGCCCCAGATCATGGGTTGCAGCGTGCAAAACAATGACATGATTACCTTTTCCTGATGGTATCAGGGGTGTTTTTTTAGTCAGTGGAATGATTCATCAACATGTAGTCAGTGGAATGATTCCTTAAGGGAAATGATCTGGAAGCCCTGACCGTTATAGTTATAAATGGTGCGGAGATAATGTGATCTCATAGACAGGATGGAATATTACCCCCTGAAAACTGCCCGGTCATCTGGGGTACCTTCTGCTCATAAAGCTTGTACAAACCTAGTCACTCTGGATCAAATATCCCTTTACGTCCCGGTTTTGTTTTTGAGACAACCCCCCCCACCACACACCCCCTTCTATACCTTTTTAGTTTAATTTATCATACCGTAGACTTGGTGGAATGAATTGAAACCCCATAGCTTGGGCAGTTCGGTAATTCACCCTATCTAACTTATTATTGGTTCCCTCTATCTCCCTAAAGTGTAAAGTACTTGTATGCATTTCCTAGTAAGGCCTCCATGTCGTGTACCGTGGCGATGGCTATGCAAATGTAATGTAACATGCATCATGGGAGCAGTGTTGATAAAACAAATGCAGCGTCATATTGTTATTTTAGAAGATCCACATCTAGAATTTTCTCCATGTGATTTTTTGTGTGTTGAAAGACTACATTATTATCATTATATATGTAACGGATTCACATGCGCATATTTTTATAGTCCGTTTTAGACTGCCATCACTGGACTTAGAATAAATTCGAACTTACTGTTTTCATTCAAATTTTTCTCCTGTAAAATTGTCGATAGGACTCCCTGTGACCGAAATACTTCAAATCACAGGTAGGTTGATCGGTATTTCAATTGCAACAGTCTGTGAAAAATTCTTTCCTTTTTTAACGGCCAAAAAGCATTTTTCTAGCATTTCCGACAGTACTTTAATGTGCTAAAAGTCTAAGACTTTGATCACTTTGGAATTTCCTCCCATGTTGACAGCTGAAATAGTGTTTATTGCACCTCCCCGAGGCAAGGGCGTTAACTGACTATAAAAGTCCAGTTTCTAGCCTTGTAGCGCCACCAGTGGCTATCATGAGTTATGTCCCTCCTACAGATTCCATCTCTCATATCACTTGCATTTGCTTCAAACAAAATGTCGGCGTCAAGACGATATGATCAATAATCAAGATCTATGTTGTAATAAATCAGGTCTTTCCTCGCGAAGTGCATGAAATCACTTGAGCTCCTTGATTAAAAAACATGAAAAGAATTTGGAAAATATATGTCGATGCCCATTTGATGGTACACATGCTTTGCAAATCCTGCAGCAGACCGAAATCTGCATGTTGAAATCAATGTTGTTTACAAACCATGCATAGACTCATTAGTCCAGCCAAAATGTAACTCCAGAATTCCAGCCTGGTTTGGCACAGATGGAAACTGGACTTTTCTAGTCAGTTAACGCCTTTGCCTCGGGAAGATGTGTTTGATGCTGCGTTATACCTAACTTATTCATTCGGACCAATCTCAAAACATAGCTACGACAGGGAATGTATCCAGGGTATGAAGAGGATGAAGATGCCATACGGCACAAAAATTGGGGGGATAATGAATTTAAAAAATAATAATAATTAAATAAATAAAAAAATAAAAAATTCTGGTGTAGGGGGTATATTGTTTTTGTAGTGAAGACTGAGCACACAATTTCATAATAATATCCCCAAAATTATTTATGATTCCTAATTTCCTTAATTTCCCTCCACATAAAAGGCTCCGCAAAAATATAATAAAAAAATACTGAAATAATGTTTTAATTAACAAAATTGAGGGCAGAAAATTTATTGGTCTGGTCTGGTAAAAGAAACACAAAATTGTTTCAAAGGGTAGAATGTGTACTTGTTGATCAGTGATAGAACTAAAGGTCATTGTGGATTTTGACCTTCATCCTTAGTTTTGAAATCTGTTGATATTTATCAGCTGGTGAAGACATTGCCCCTGGAACATGCTCCATTTTCGACAGCACTGCCTGAGAACCATGGAGTTTTCTTCTATTAAAGCATGAGACTTTCAAAAAATGGAGAACAAACATTTTTTTTAATCGAAATAGTTTATTAACTTGAGTGTATGAATTAACCAAACGTACAATATGGCCGCCTGCCAGATGGTGATGACAAGTGAAGTCAGTGTAACCATGGTAACAGATTTTGCATAAAATAAATATTTCATCTGATGTGAGCATACCACTGATGTAACAATGCTCATCCCTCATCCAAACATATCAGCATTTACACACAAGAAATCAACAGGCCAAACTGTCGATAAATATACTTGGGGTTTCCTGAAATATCATAGCCTGAAATTGATTGTTTTCACAATCCCGTCTGAGTAAATTCTGGTTTGATACAGCAACAGAAGGGACCTAAACTTTTTAACCTAACAATCTCATCTGTAACAGCTTTGAGTTTGTTTACTGTTGCTAAGACACAGACTAAGCAGAACATTCTGTAAGCTTACTGCATATCCTCTGGGTGCAATACTGATGGTTGTAAAAACAAACATTTAATGGAGATTGAAATAGCCTACAAACCACACACAAACAGCAGTCATTTAGTACATGATATTAACTTTTTATGTTATGATAGGCTGATAACTGAGAAACATTTAGAAGATTGAAAACAAAATGCCATTAATTAGCCAGGATAGTTCCTTGTCAATAATCAAATACAAATACTGAAGAGAACTTGAAGACATCTTTCTTCTCTCTTCGTTACGTTTCCTGCATACTGTGATTGTTTCAGAATAATCTACCAAACCCTCTTCCTTACTGGCACACATGGTGTGCGCAAAGTAGAGTGGTCACCCAGAGGCACACATGGAAATACACAAGTTTTGACACGGACATCAGATTACAAGAATGTCCGTCAGTAAAAATTCTAGGGTTTCTACATCATCCCAAAACTTTCTAGTACATCAGAGTCCAGAGAATAAGCAGCTCAATTGACAGTATGTACAAAATAATTTGATAGAAATTCAAATTTCTAACCATTATAAGAGACATTTATGTAAAGCTAGTATCATACTCAACGCTCACTATGCATATAAAATATTTAAGTTAATACTGATGTCAACAAAACTGCATTTCAGAATGCATAACTTGTCTCATTCACAATACAACACGATCAGTGAATAAGTTACAATTTTCTCACCATTCCAGGTGTATGGAATGTCGAATATTTAATATTCTACACCAAGACTGCATTGATAGACGTTGATTCACTGATCCCGTTGTGCACAAGAAACCAATGTGGGTTGCACAACAGACCAATGTGGATTGCACAACAAACCAATGAGGATCACACAACGTTGAATGTTTCAGCACCATGCTAAAGTCAAATCTTAACAAGCATATTCTAAGCAGCACTAGTTAAGTCACAGCAAGCATACTTAATTTAGAGCATGGGAAAGTCAGTTTCATAATGGATATATTTCTGATAAACAATGACTATATTTGTACTTGAAAGGGACATTTTTAGGATTATTATCTTGAAAGAAATCAGACTTGACCAGCAAAAGAAACACAAGATTTGTTACAAATTATGAAAAGAAGCTGAGGTTTTAGAGAAATGGCAAGACCACTTCGTCTCAAGTTGAATGAGAAATCTTTGATATGAAGTGTTCACAGATAACCAAAGTGGTGTCAAAATATCCCCATGGTTTGACTGGCAGTGACAACAAAGACGAGTTCACTCTGGTCAATCTGCTCCCGGATGAACACAAAATGATGCAACACAAGCTCAGCTGCCAGTTCAGTCCAATACCACCACTTCCTGCTTGTGTTCCGGTCGAGGAACTTCGATTGTTGGCATGGGAATCTGGAGCAGCAGTCCGCGCCAGGGGTTGCGAGCTGCACGCTTCACGGCATGGCGGGTCACCTGGTGCCTCAGCTTCCTGGAATGAAGAGGAAAGAGTTCTGAACGGGGCTTTGTCTTGACAAGCAAATACTCTAACCAGTAGGCTTACTACTTTTTAGCACAGATGTGGGGAGAATAGCAATTTAAGATACTATTTTTTCTGATCATTGCATCAAAATTCTTTTCAGTTATATTATTGGGTATGTTTTAACGTAATTACCGGTAGATTCGGGAACGTGTGTACAGCTGATTACTATTTCAGGCTTAGTTTACGAGACAATACACACGGTAATCTTTATCCCTGCGTATTAAAACAATGCCTAGCATAACAAGAAATACAATCGAAATGGTAAATCATCATGTCTGGTGATGTTTAATCACAAATTTCACATTTTCATTGACAAAGTTTGTTATGGCGTTGTTCATTCACCTGAAGCGATAGGATGTAGTTTTTACCAACAGAAAAAGAGTTTGATGAAAGTGTAACCCATACATAAGCCAACCCCTGTCTACAGAATCTTTTTTTCTGGTCCCCAAAATTCGGCTTAACTATGGTCATATACGGCAGGTTGTATACCAAACAACAATACAGGGGAATGAGGGCAATTTGTTTTATGCTGCAGACAAACAATTGAGCAAAATAGGCTAAAGAAAATAATAGTTTTGGTTCTCAGGCACCGCCCACACCATCATAAAGTTCACAGCATTTCTGTTTTTATTTCGATTTTAATAAAAAAACAAAAACAACCTAAACTTCTTAAATATAAGTAAAACGGTAGTCAAATACTGTATTCCAGTATTTGATTCATCAATGAACACATTTATGTAGGGAGGCCCTTTCCCAGGTTGATTGTACACAACTGTTTATTTGGTTACATACTAGTTTTAACAACCAACAAACAAAAGACACCACCCACACATTATTTTTAAAAACCATTGCCTGAGAACCAATTCTTCTTCTTTTTTAAGCCTTAGTGACAATTTATGGCTAACAACTACTTTAATTTACTATCATAGCGATGTTTCAGTGTAGATACTTATACCATTGTTAATGAAAGAATTGGGTTGTCATTCACTTCATTTGAGTAATATAGATGGAATATTGCTGACAGCCTCGTTACACAACGAACAACTTATGTAGTGATACTGACCTAGTGGCTTCTGTGGCAACGAAGTACACATCGTCAGGTGCATCAATCCAGCTGATCATGTGCATCTTGTAGCCGCCTCGAACACCAGGTGTCTTGCTGCGACCATTCTTGAAAGTGCTGTGGTTGATCACGCTACCTCGCTGGGACAGTGAAGAAATTATTTAGAACGCTTCAGCAACACATTTCAACATGTATGGGTTAAAAGCAGACATGACATTCATATAAACTACTTACTTTCAACTCCATACTCCTCAAAACAAGTTAATGAGTGAGTGAGTTTGGTTTTACGCCGCTTTTAGCAATATTCCAGCAATATCACGGCGGGGAACACCAGAAATGGGCTTCACACATTGTACCCATGTCGGGATTCAAACCCGGGTCTTGGGCGTGACAAGCGAACGCTTTAACCACTAGGCTACCCGACCGCCCCTCAAAACAAGTTAAAGGCTGTGCTTTGCAATTGCCAGATTAATATAGTCATCAAAGACAGATTAGCTGTAGTCATATGAAACATTCAGGTGTTCTTTCACTTCTTTGAGTAGTATATTTGCATAATGAAAAGGACACTTATTTCTTTTCATCAATATTTATGTGGGAAAATCATCCTTTTTGTAGACAGGTAGCTACTTGTTATGGGGATAGTAAAGAGAGATTAGTTGGTATACATACTATTGTTGGCACCGATCGGAGTGCTGACCCAACTTGGCGGATAACTCCTAGACTTGGCCGCTTGGCACTGGGAGCTAACAAAACAAAATCACTTTTCAAAACTGATGTCAAATATTTATTCTTAATTAAAGACCTCATCTTTTTTCCTGTGGAAAAAATAACATGCATCTATTGCTCAATAGGTTTTTATCTTCAGTGTGCTGACTTTAAGCATGAAAGTCAGGGTGTCCTTATCATGGCCCAGGTGGTAAAAGGTAAACATTTTGGGGTCCTTCAACTAAACTACAATGGCAGCAAACCTCAAGGACTCCAGGAAGCCCCTTAACTTTGAACACTGCTTGCTCAGTGAACATTTAAGGGGTCATCCAGGGTCCTCAAGCTTCTTGGCTCCATCATATCTTTGTTTACAGTGGTAGTATCCATTGTTAGAAATAAAAAAACCCGCTGCCATCAGGACCCACAGACTGTAGAAGCTGTAGGCCCTGACTAAACTCTTCAGGTCCTCATGTATAAACTGCAGCTTACTGTGACCCATATAATCGACACAAAAATATTTTGGTTTTGGTTTGGTTTGTTGTTTTACGCTGCACTCAGCAATATTCCAGCTATATGAGGGCAGTCTGTAAATAATCGAGTCTGGACCAGACAATCCAGTGATTTACATGACGAATATCGATCCACACAATTGGGATCGATGACATGCATCAACCAAGTCACCAGATCCCGTTAGTCGCCTTTTACGACACAAAAATAAATGCAGGCCATAAGGACCCCTACAAATTTGAAACTACGGGCATGACACAAGATCTAACTGCAATTGGCCTGATGGCAGTGGCTAATTTCAAACACTGGTAGAATCACAAGGAACCCTTGACTTCCATCCTTAATTTCAAACGCTGCTATGGTTCTATGTGCTCCTTGATAAATTCTCAACTGTTGGAATTAACCAAACCTAAAAGTACCATCAAGCCTTGATAAAAAGCCTGTCTTATGTAAACTCATACCTAGCATAATCACCAGATTATCACGTCACGAAACAGGATGCACAATTTCCAAATACTGACAAGTAACAACATAATTGACAGTAATGGTGTATACTACTCAAAAGAAATTAAATAACACCCAAGTCTTAACTATGACTGCAGTTGTTCTGTCAAGCCATGACAAGAGTAACTATAGTAATATGAAAGAATCGGGTGTTCTTAACTTCTTTTGAGTAGTATACATGGCAGTGTCAGGAAACATGGAGGATAACATGTGCCGTATTCGACGTAATAAGCGCCCAGGGCGCTCTCAAAATTAGAAATGGGGGGGGGGCTCTTATTAGAATATAATTTTGGTGAGAAAAAAAAACACAGTTGAAAGATCTTGAATATTGTGATTTATGCTGACAGCCTGGAATGATACAAAAGAATTGTCTGTGCGTATTATACACGACAAATATATTTTTCCAGAATTTAATTGCCCATAATTAAGGGTGCATATAACACGCGAGTTTGTATTATACACGAATAAATACGTCTTGTGTACATTGATCAATCGGAAGGGGTGCTAATTGGGATCGTTCACAAGCCAATATATTAGCAAATATCGCCATGGGCGCTTATTACGTTGAATACGGTAATTCTAAAAATACTGTAGAAGAATGTGGAGTTACAACTTTGTGGCAATGATACATTTATACAGGCATTGACAAATGGGAGACAACTCACGTATATCTATCCCATTGCTCTGCTCATAGCCTCTCTTCTTCATGATTGATGGTCCGGCTGTTGACGTCTGAATTGTCTCTGGGACTCTGTGTGCTGATATCATCATAAATATGGTCAGTAGAACATTTGAAAAGTTTGTCTTAAATACATAAGATAATCTGTATATAAACTGTAGTCCAAATAAAGCATCTTGTAGGGCATATTAGTAAAATTATTGAAGTAAATATTTCTTGATTGTGAATTACTTGAAGAGTGCCATGAAGTGAAGTACAAATGTTCATTTTAATGAAGTTCTCTGATTAGCGAATAAAAGTTTTATTGAAAATGTTATTTCTGAAGTGTGGGATGCTTCTGTATAATTATATTTGTAGTGGATGAAGTGAAAATTGTATCAGTTGTTCAGCAGCCTTAAATAAGTATAACATAAATACATGAAAACTGTTTACTTAAAAATTTTTTCGTGTCATATATTTCAAACAATTATGACTCAGTTAGCATTTCTCATATTGCACACTGGAACAATGCTAAAAAAACAGAGGAAGGATGTGAGAGGCAAGGACAGTGACGAACCACAAGCTTGCTGACATGACAACCAACGTAACCCCAATATAAGTCCTATCCAAACTTTGCTGACTCATGATAGGTTTATGTCATCTACATGGCAGAGTTCAAAAATTGGTCATGTGATAAATAACAGATACAGTATTATTACTGGAAAAGCACGACCATCAGGAGAATATTAGTTCAGACATCTCTGAGGATTTTGCAGGCATTTTCGTAATACTTACTGAAGAAAATTAGAGGACAGTTTAGGTGAGGTGAGGTGAAATTGGGTTTAACGTTGCATCCAATATTATTGCACCTATATAGCGACGTGCATGCACGTGTATGTGGCTGCTTGTACTAGTCTGGACTGATGCCGATTTAAAGTGCTAGCTCAATGAGATACCATGCTGCAGTTTAACATGAATACCCCACTCAGACACAGTATACTGACTCCAAGCCGACCAGTCCTTGTTTTAGCCCCTTTATGCCAAGCGCCAGACAGGGTAACAACAAGTACAATCTTTTAACGTCTTTTTGTATGACTCGGCCGGGGATCGAAGCCCGGACCTTCCGCTCTCCGGGCGGACGCTACACCACAAGACCACGGAGGCGGTCAGAGGACAGTTTAAATCTTCATACCACCCCCAAAAGAAAAAAGAACTAAAACAATGCAGGGTTTCAATTTTTTGGAAACACATTACACAATATTTGGTCAGAAATGTCAAAATGCATATGAGCGTCCTCCAACCCTAGAAAAGGAAGCCATTTTTCATGTGATCGTGTCCTCTTACACAATTTCGGGAGCTAATTTGGCTACACAAAATTGGTAATTCTACTGGGAACAAGTCAGCCTTAGATGGGAAACAAGTCAGATTTAGATGGGAACGAGTAAGCTATACATGGGACATGTCAGTTCTTGAATGGTATGAGATGGACTAAAAGACTGGGTTGGCAAGCTGAAGATCGTATGACGAGACTAGAGGCTTACTTACAGCACACTGCATCTACAGCTACAACACAGGCAGACAGAGGACAAAGGTAACTTACGTGGTGGGTGAGGCGGGGCAGGGAAGGATATCCTCTGTTCTCCACGAGGCTCACCTGACTTGCGATGTAGCAAGGAGGGTTTCTCCACACTTATATCTATGCCAAGGCGACACACTACAGGTTCCATTGTCAAACCACGAATCTTTCCCGAAGTGGGCAGTTCTATCTTCCCAACCTCTGTCACACGGCCTGAGCCTGTGGGAAAGACTTGATATGAGAAATTTGTAACCACACAGAAAACAAACGAAACCCACAAATAAACACAACATGAAAATTTGTGACTTTTACAAAGTTTTATTGTTGATGATCAGAAACTGAACAGCAAAATTCCCCAAACTTGCAACAATGAAAATAAAGACGAGAAACAGCAGATACTTTACAGAAGCAATGAACGATTATTATCAGCAGAAAGAGCATCAGAAGCCTAAATATCTGACACTGTAGCCACGAGGAGGAGACTATATGTGACAGTCTGCTGTGACGTAGGTCTTACTATAGAGTAGATTAAAGTTTTGGAAGAGGGATTGTATAGAGAGGTGTACCTGTCTCACTCACTTCTTGGCTTGCAGGACGAGCAGGTGCCCCTTCTCTTTCTCTCTCTGCTATACAGCATTCACAGGGTGCCTGGTCACAAAATCTCAGGAACAATTTAGTGGTGGAGATAGTTTTTTTGCAAGGGAAACTGGCCATGTTCTTGGAGATTTATGTGCAGAATTTGATGTCGCCACCAGACTGTCACATATACTTGTTTTCGATTTCTGCACTTTGCCAAATAACGGAATGATTGTTTGTGAGAAGCTCGGCTTTTATTGCAAGTTAGTATTAAGCTATCAGAGAACAACTGCTATTTGACAAGCCAGAAGCGATATCTAAGAAATTGAAAAAGAAAATACATAAAGGAAGAAAATAAAAATACATGACAATTACGATTCGGCATGAATGATTTGAAAGCCATGAAAGGAACAGACATCGCCCACTAAATATAACATTCTAGAGATTGTCCATGACACAGGCACCCTTCAGTGATGGAGACATCTTCCCCTAGGTGGCCTCCTGGCTACCACAGTATGTGTATAATGCTGGTCATGTGGAACAATATACAACTTGGATACAATACAGAACAATCAATGAGCAAGGTTCCCTGGCAAAGAATAATGTAGATTTCTTTGGCTTTTTTTTCTCCAAAACCACCCGGCTTCGATTTTTATTTTAAAAATATTTTCACGTCAAAACTACTAGACATAACTACAGCCAATTCATTTTTGGTTGGAGCAAAAGCCGAATGCTTTCAAGTGGAGTGGCCTACTGATGCAGCAGACCAAGTCCACTGATAACACATCTGAGACTGTATCTCGCATCTACATCCAGACATATTTTCACGTTATAGTGACCCAAGGAATCCTTGCTCATTAAGTGTATCATAGGCAAGAATACACAGTTGTAGACATTCACCCCTTCTTCATTAAGCCAACATGCAGTTTACAAAGACAGAGAAATTTGAACAAAATATTCTGAAGAACAACATATCCACAGGATAGACATCCTGTAGCAGTTTTCTGGTTCAGGATGTCAAGGCTGTTTGGTCAAAACCAATGGGCAAACAGACCATGGAAGCTTTATTTAACCAAATACTTCATTTACTTCCCAATGAGCTGATAAATATTACACATATTTCATATAAAACCAAAAAGTTAACTGAAACAGTGACTATTCGTTTGAATATGAATCATATGTTTGTAAAATATGATTCGAACCTTGTAGTACCAGAATCTTGAAAACCTCAAGAGATATTGTCTGGAATCTCAAGAGATTTTCAAAGAAAGGACGAAAACCAGTTGTGATGTTTTTGTAGAATTTTATTGCTGACAAGTGTTACAAGGCTATGTTACATGGCTGTTGGTTGTCTATACACACATGCAAGTGATCTAACTAGATGATGATGATGACACTACGTAATATCACTGATGGAAGACAACATGAGTGATGAAACTAGGACCAAGATAAGAAAACCTGTACAAATGTTATAGAAAAAATGTCCAACTTGGTTCATACAATGTTTAAGGAGGAACTCAACATCAAGCTATGTTACTACATCTAGATACACAAACATTGGCAAAATAGTCAAAGTATGGCTTTCAGGACAAATAATTCTTAAATATTGAATAGCACAAAAATCCATACCCTACACAATGATAGACTACAATGAAATTCTACAGTGAAAGGATAGTGGTTCGAGTTTGTTCTTCACAACCCTCAATGCCCAGCCAGCTTCCTGCATATGTACGAAACTTCATTCATACCAACATATTGGTTTTGATTGATAAAAAAATCCAAGCTTTTTCTCGTGACTATGTTATTGCTTTCTTGTACTACAGAGATTGACAACAGGAACTATACTTGTCTGAACCGAACAGAAACAAATTAAGGATTCGGAAGTCCAACCACACAAATACTGACAAGTATGGAGACTTGTGAAGCTTCTGAAGACGGCAATGTCATGAATCAGATTTAAGGATATTTCGATTCAATTATTTGCTAAGACGAATGGGTAGCTTTACCATTAATTGCCTTGATGAACTGCGTTGATGAGGAAATCAAACCCAGGGCAAGACTCTCACAAACCAACACTTCACCTATAGAGCTACCTCAGCATTCCACATTAACTCTTGTTGCAAATCTCATCTTGAAAGAGTTGTCCAAATCAAGAAATTGGTTCAAGAGCTTTAAATTTTTCCCTCTATATAGGTTCATTCCTATTGTCAAATTTATTGGCCAAAATGTGCAGGACACAACAAAAGGAATCAGTCATTGTCTCAAAGATGACATGAAAATATCAAAAACTGCCATGTTTCATAATCAATGTCCATACGGACATAAACCCTGTCAACTTCCTGTTGGGAAAGGCACAACAGCATTCTTCCAGGAGTAAATCCATACATATATCTGCTATATAACTATTGCTGTTAAATCAACATCTTACATATTTGACTGAGGACCTGAAATGCTGCAAGCAAATACAGCTGCATGTGTGTTTATTACCCACATGTCTATAAATAACTGAGTTCATCAAAATCGTATCTGCACTTGTGCAAATATCACTTCACGCACCAGTGTGTTGTTCACGTCATCCGGACGGCATTGTTGACACCATTCAAATCTTATTGTGACATCAGGTTAGAATGCCGTCACTCTAGAAACGACGTCACAGCTGAAGATTGTTCACGTCAATCGACAATTGCGATTTTATTTTAATACGGTGATAGTGATCAGTGCATTTTTCTAATGGGGAGCTCAAAAGGATAACAAATAATGGGTAATGAAGATATTATTTCACTCGCATGTGTGTCATGCTGATTTTACTAAACTCATGTAATGCTCTCACTCTCACTCGGGAAATACAAGAATTCTGACACTTGTTTTGTAAAATCATTATTACACACATGCTTGTATAATAATCTGTCAAAGGCCAATGTCATATTGACCAAGCCAATTTTATTTAGCTTCTACTCTCCAAATATGGAGTGAAAGTGAAAGCTATGGCATATTGATCAGGCAGAACTGTTGTCTCTGTATTTGAAGGAGCAGGGTTTCGTTGAGATTGCCTGGCTGTACTACTTTGCTGCAGTTTGTGGTAAAACCAGCAGCATGTATTGGTCTGACAACTGGACACCAGTTTGGTGGTTTGAATGCTGCAAGATTCCATGCTATCTCCCGATTAAATACCCTGCATGAGCTGCCCAGTTATTTCAGACAGAATTGGCAACAATTCTCAATTTGAGCAAACGGATCATTGCAGACTCATTACTTGACTCTTCCCAAAATGAGTACAGTGTTACTGGCAAGATGTTGAATAAGACTGAAACGTATGTAGAAATTCAAACTCATTGTCTAAGCAAAACTTAATAATGGTTTGAATTAATACTCAATACAATGTATAAATAGATAACACACTAAGGCTAGAAGCTGATAGAAAAACAAGCCTTCCCTGAAGGACAAGAATACAAAGTTAGCAAAGAAAATAACACACAATGCCCTAGTACCAGTAGCCCCGAGAGAGAGGGTCTCCATGGTTTCCACACCATAGGTATCGATTAGCGTCAGAATAAGTTATAAAGTTACACACATCATTGTCATGCAACTGCTCCATGGAACAGCACTGTGAGGGATATGATGTCGGGGAGTTGGGGAAACCTTGCCGTTATTGGTAAAACAAACGATAATTTCGAAATACCAGACAACCTGTATCAAACTAACAAAAGTCTGTCACAAAACCTTTCAGTTGTTTACAAAGATATACAAACAGTCGGGTTCAAACATTGTCAAATATGTAATTACATTTTCAAATGAATATCATTTCCAAATGTAAATTCATTTTATAGCCATGTCCTCTGTGACAATACAAAAGTATGAAATGTTGACATGTGACGTATTGTTGGATCCCCATCACAAGCTCCTGTCTGCACTCAGGGCACCCGGCAGAACTAGGAACATGAGATGAAACACTACAAAATTCATCTATGATTGTTTTTGCGAAACAAATCTAATTCTACTCTTCATGTACAATTATCAATTCATCTGGATGAAACACTATGGAGTTGATGAACTATGCATTTTTAATCTTTAAAAATAATGGTGATGAGAAAGATTAACTGGTCTGACGATGAACATGTTCCTAGTTCCAGATGGCACAAAATGTCGAGTTTGTTCGCTAAATGTTTTTTCAAATGTCGGATGACAATTGCCAGGTTTGCCCACCGAACTGGAGCTTGTTAAGTCACATAATGAAGGCATGTCCATCTGCCAACACTGGATTTGTCTTAAACTTCACAGCAAACAAATCACCATTAATCTGTAACAGTCTGTTGGTGTGTCCTCTGCTGCCGTCAAAAAGAATTGTTTCTCAAACATGTGGTCGTCATGATGAACAACCATATTGTCCTCTTGAAGTCCCTGCCATACAGTGATGGGACCCATGTTCATCGGTTGTGTGCTGGCACAGCGCTGATTGGGTTCAAGCGGACATTGTTGGGGGTCCCCGATGACAGGTTGTTGGGGGACACATTGTTACGGGAAACATTATTGGGGGACATGTTGTTGCTTGCTCTCTCAAATATAGGTTTGGAAGCAATCATCTCTACATCAGACCTATCATAGTCACTGTAATCATTTTTATCTGAATAGTTGGCGACAAGCCCATTCAACTTACATTCTTGCTTGATAGCAGCAATGTTTATTGGTATGAATGGACATCTGGCCGCATGTCTTGGGCGCAGGATTTCCTTGCAGAGTCGGCGAGAGATTCTGGTTAGCGGTGTGGTGACAAGACAGAAGGCGGCTCGGGTCTTCATGACAGGTCGGGGGCTACCTGACCTGATAGCCAATCCATGAGCTGTTGCCAGGTGCCGCGCCAAGTGTGCCTTCAATTTGAAGTCCTGCATTAAAGTCAGGTCATTCAATCACAAACTGCTCACAAGCATCATGCAATGAACAACAACATGTACTGTGGCCAACATCATTAGGGACAGATAAGTTCTAGCAACCCTTACTCATGTACTTGGACTGTCGCCTGGCAACAGGCATTAATCATAGTAACAGGAACTGTTTTCACTTAAGATCAATTAAATTTGAAAGAGGGTTATTAACTTCAAGTATATACAAGCATAATGATCTATCTATTATAGTTTATCCGTAATAGTTTACATTCTGCTGGCAATAGTACACGACACAACATCAATTTTACAAGCTTGGGGAAATCACAAACTACTTCATCTTTTAGCCTCTATCAAGGAGTATGTCCAGGAGCCGATGGCGGGGGAAAAGAAATTTGTATCTTAACCCCACAATTACAAAAAGAAAATTTAAAAAATAATTTCGAAAACCTGTATTGTCAGAAATGCAATACACGCAGTCAAAAAATGCAATCATATGTCTTCGACAAAAAGAAACAATTAAAGGAAGAGAATATATCATTATATACAAGGGTTATTTGATAGAGCTACATATGGGACAATATAAACTACAAATAGGGAACTAGTTCCATATTTAGATAATGCTAATCATCAGCCCCAAGGAAAGTCTCTCTAACTCTTTGTGGACGTCAATTAATCATGAGTACACAATGCTATTTAGAAAGTGGTCAAATGTAACAAATGTCAATTTGTGATAACACTTTCTTAGTAAAGTACAGATTCTCGTACTTTTAGGGGGGGATGAGTCCTGTCCAGGATTCGAACCTACACTGCCAGAGTAAGGCACCTAATCGCCAGCACACAAAGTCAGCGATTGGTCGGTTAGATTAGGTACCTCACTTTGGCATTGTGGGTTCGAATCCCGGACGGGACTCAACCCCCAAAAAACGTACGAGAATCTGTACTTAACTAAGAAAGTGTTATCCCAAATTGACATTTGTGTCATTTAATCAGCTGAACAATAAGAACTGACATGAATGCAAACTGCAAGCCAACAATACAACATACAGGCATGAAAATCTGTCTCAATCATAACATGACAATGTCATAACCCTGAACATCTTCAGCAACAAAGTATATATAAGCCACTCAACCACTTGCCAGACACATCTGGTCATATGTCAACTGTATCCCTTTGAAAAGTGGACATTTTACATTTTTGATAGTTTTCTAAACGGTATATTTTGTACATGTAATCATTATTCTAGGTCATTTTTCTTGATCACTCAACTTGAACAATAACCATCAAACAAATTTTCATCATTGCTGTTGAAAACTTTATTTCAACAAAGGTGTCTCTCCTTTAGAGAATGCATGATCATAAATAAAACTGTCATGTAAAGACGGTTTATTTATGAGCAAGGTGTCTAAAGATAAGAAACAATTTTCTTAGCCCCAGATATCAGAGTGAGTGAGTGAGTGAGTGAGTATGGTTTTACGCCGCTTTTAGCAATATTCCAGCAATTTCACGGCGAGGGACACCAGAAATGGGCTTCACACATTGTGCCCATGTCGGGAATCGAACCCGGGTCTTCGGCTTGACGAGCGAACGCTTTAACCACTAGGCTACCCGACCACCCCCAGATATCAGAAATATTGAAAATCATCAATAACCAGTTACCTGACATGTCTGTATCTAACCTAGGCCTGTTGCACAAAACAATCTTGGCTACACAACGATCGTAAGCCTATTGTTCAAGTATGAGAGTTATGACCACCTTTGTGCTTAGATAGCTTTGTGGAATGAAGCTTAATTGCTGACTGAACACTGGACCTTAGGGAATTAAATCAGGACATCGGAAGGATTTCATGCTATTCTAGTAACACAGGCCTCCTATCACTATGCATACTTAAACAACTCCATCTATTCAGGTCCGTATTCAAAGTTTTCACAACACTACTGTCCACAAACACAACAACCAATTCTCTAAACCTGAACATTTCAACACTTCTGAAACTATACACACCAAAAACACATCAAATTGACCACTACACATACTAACACTGAAACTTACCTTGCCGCAACCAGAGATAGTGCATCGGTGGCTTCGGATGGCATTCATCTGTGCAACCCTCTCTGTAATAGGAACAATAATGATGAACTGTCGCCCTTCACGAGTCCTTCCTACACCTACCATGACACTACTCCAACTTACAATGGACAGTCTCACCTAATGCATTACCCTGTCTGGTATGCTATTGTAAAAACTACGTACAATTAATATTTGGTATGCTCAACACTATTTCTTACAATGTCATGAAATATGCTGTAAGCCAATGCTAAATACGGAGAAAGAAGTGATTTACAATACTTATCATGCAACTTCCACCAAACAATTCCGCTTTGAAAATCTATTTCTACCAAATACTTGGCATTCATCATCATTGGATTTTTTTCAACACCTCAAAAAAAAAAAATTGTATAAAGTTTATGGAGCTTTAATACAAAGAGGTGGGCAGGGCTATTGTCAGCATCACATTGCCACTTGTGACCATGATAAAATTTGGAGTCCCAGGCGAATTCCATGCTTCTGTGATTGTTGGGGAAAAAATGCAAAGGTATTAATTAACTGTGATGTACAAAGTAGAGTGGACAAAAGACAATTTTGTTAGCAGTGCTTAAATGACAACAGAATTGTGTAGGAAGTCATATGGCATATAAAACATATAATGGAATCTGACGACTATGGTGATTACTGTCTGAAAGTAAAGGACATAGATATTACAAAAACAGAAAACACCACATTTTTTGTACTGAAATGTTTTTCAACTTTTATGAAGAGGAATTCTTTCAGTTTTTCTCAAAGACTTCACACACTTTTTCCACAGAATTCGCTAGGGACTGACCTTGGCAAGTCATAAAGAATTATATGATGATGTAATGGTTACTCTGGGTGGACAATAATTGTGATGGCAGATAGCTCTGCTGATTGGCTGGACATGTTCATAAGTTTAGTTTTCCAAAGCTGAAGTTAAAAACATGTGTTAGGCAGCAGTCTAGACGTATAGATATTGTTAAAAAAAAATAATGAAAAAAAGTATTTCATTCCATGATGAAGAAAGCATCTACAAAATAAGCACCATCAAAAATATATCTACAGTGACTCAAAAAGCCATTCACATACAATAATGCAAGCATTGCAAAATGTAATGGTAATTGTCTCAATGCCAGGCAACATATCTGAACACCTCAGTAACTTGTATCCTGGCTGTCAACTTAACCAATGAAAACATGTGTTATATAAGGTGTATGTCTAACCTTGTCTTTGATTGGGTGCAGGTCTCTCACCATCTGCAGGCAGACAGACAGGAAGTGAGTACAAGCAATTAAACAAGAAAGAAATCAAAGCTGTATCACTTGCATAATGCTACCAACAGAAAACACTGACATGCAACAACATTGATAATATACCGACTTTTGATAATGCAATCATAAATGCCAGTGCTGAAATACCAACCTAACCAGAACTTCTACTTCTTTTAAAAAAACAAACCCTATTGATAAGAGATAAACCTGACCGTTGAGGTTTTCAAAGTTGACAGTACCTGTTGAAAATTAACAGGTTAGGAAATTTGAAGCTTTTTACAGGTTTTGAAAATTAAAATATGTCGCGGACAAATTTCTGACTATTTTCCAAGTTCACAAACTCCTCAAAATAGAATCTTCTCTGAAAGTATCTCTTTCAAACAAATAATTTCTTGAGTGACACAACAGCCAGCACAATCATGTCTGAACTTGTAACCTCTGGGTCACCAAGACAATCCATCGTTCGCCAATGTGTGCAAAGATCCATGCTTTAAAGGTACAATGAGACACAATCAGCCCGATCACTTAGGTCAGGAACAAACCAGCCACTGGTTGAGAGCGAGCAGAAACCCACTCTGACCTGCCCTGTAAATCCTAAATTCATTTTGTACTTTGTAATTCACATGGTTCAACTGAAATGCATCTTTGAGTCGCCACATTCCATCAACTACTGTCAAGTACTGTTATATCAAAAGTTCAGCCTTCCATTATTCTTCCACCACATTCTCAGGGGCATACTTTGTCTAGTATTACACAAGCAAAAAGCAGCAAATCACCACCAAGCAGCATCTTACTCAAATTGTCATGCATCAAATAAAAAGGCATATTAAAAATCTATTTAAAAATTAAAACAAAAATCCTACTGGCTAAACCATAAATTACATGAATTCCACCATCAACCGCATATCCAACCAGACAACACCCTTGAGAGTAAACAAAATACATGTAGTGAGAGTCCGAGGGGGCAATTTGAATAAATTTGAATACCAGTGGGTAAACTATCTCCATAGTTGTTAGTACCTAGCCGCGTAGGCATCTTGAGGCCGCCATACTTCTTCCAATAGGACCAGCAGCATGAACAGAGGCGACACTGAAGGTGGGAGGGGCCCCACGAGTACCACTGGCTAGAGTGGGCAGCTGAAACAAACAGGGCTTACAGTCAAAGCGAGTGTGATCATGTAGAGGTGAACCGTTACATTGGTGTACCGGTGCATCGTGAGTTTTCATGAGACGATATATGATAAATTCTTTTCTGTATCGATACAAGATGATACATTTTCTAAAATAAATTACTTGCTACTCATTGAATGATCCCCAGCGTTTTTGTCAGTCAAAAGTCGCAAAATGTGTTGTGATTAGCATTTCAAGTTCACTCATAAATATTGCCGCTACAAACATGTGTCTACAGCTAGCTTTTCCTTTCAAACTGCTCTGAAATACATGTATTCATAGTCAAGAAGTTTCCAAGCGGTTTCGACATAAATATGCGAAGCCCAATACATATCGTATCATGAGCTATGTATCGTGATGCACTTTGTGTCGGGACCTTGCCTTATTGTTTCATCCCTAGGATCATGATGTCTTGCCATAGCCAGTTGCAGTACCGTTTGGTAATGGGGATTGCATCTACCACCAAACCTATGACATACAAGGAATGGATTGTGAGCCAGTCTGGTTCTACACCACTCTCTTGTTCCAGCCACACCATGGCAAGGGACACCAAAGAAATGCTGAACCAATGTGTGGAATCAACACGGCTCTTTGGAGTGAGCAAGTGGGTGAATTTGGTTTTACACCGCATTTTAGCAATGTTCCAGCAATATCACAGACGGGGAAAAAGGCTTCACACATTGTAGCCATATGGGGAATCAAACCCAGGCCTGTGGCTACCTCATCACTGCTCTCTGGAGTAATGAACTTGAACGCTTGAAATACTGGGCTACCCAAATGCCCTAAACTAAGCAATGTCCACAGTAGACTGACATTATACCTCTGCAATTAAATATTTTCCCTCACCTCAGTAGCGAAGGTTCTGATAATGATAATTTACAATATGAGTAAACAAATAACATATGATGACATTCTACTAGAAGAAACATTTCTCCTACACATATCAACATGGTTAATCTGTGCATTAAAGACACTACTTGAATAAACATGTTTGAACTGGTGTCACGAGTAAGAGGCATGTGTTACTGACTGTAGCAGCTCTCGCAGGCCCTCCCGGACACCTGGCCATCAGCGCCATTCATCTTGTTGGACAGTGCTGCTGGGTTGGGTTTATTGCTGAAAAAGTACAACAATCAATTACAGTCTTGACCAGCATGGGGATTGAGCAGGCTTAATGCTGAGTCAGCAATATTACAGACACTTTAAATCTGGAACACAAATAGGTCAAACAAATGAAAAAGATAAACACCTTAATCCACAATGGTTAATTTTTCACACATACTCTCAAATCAAAGCTAAAGGTAGAACAATGACTATTACATCAATACTCACAAGTTGGGAATATCATATCAATACTCACTAGTTGGGAATATCAAATCAATACTCACTAGTTGGGAATATCATATCAATACTCACAAGTTGGGAATATCATATCAATACTCACTAGTTGGGAATATCATATCAATACTCACTAGTTGGGAATATCATATCAATACTCACTGGTTGGGAATATCATATCAATACTCACTAGTTGGGAATATCATATCAATACTCACTAGTTGGGAATATCATATCAATACTCACAAGTTGGGAATATCAAATCAATACTCACTAGTTGGGAATATCATATCAATACTCACTAGTTGGGAATATCATATCAATACTCACTAGTTGGGAATATCATATCAATACTCACTAGTTGGGAATGTAAACCTGCTTTAGTTTACTCTCAGCTTCAGCAGCTTTTATTCTTTTCTAAAACAGAAAAAAACCAACATGTTTTCAAATACCTTTTTCATTTTCTTATCACATTCTCAAGAGGAATGTTATATACTTGTAGACAGCAAATTTCCTATGAAAGATTAATTTGTAAATATTATTCATACCATCACTATTCAGTAAAAGTCAAAACTAAGATCAGGGGAGATAACTCTGTCAACCTTCAGGTCTTGTGAGTTTCTACCCTTTGTTATTTTCCAACTTTTGTTGATGAAGGTGTAAATATATACTCCGAAACGTTGTGTTCCTCATAATAAAGAAGTTGACATCCATATATTCTCTTCCTTCTGTCAACCTTATTTAACTGTTATTGTCACTTGATAAATGTCTCACCTGTTGCACATATCTATCTGTTGTTTTCCACATATAATAGTACTCTATAATACTTTTCAGTGACTTCCATGGTAGCTGGAAAAAGAAAATAACATCAAGTGAGCACAGAATAAAACAAGTCAGACAAACTGTGAAACCATCCTCTAATATACCTGTGTTGACAATTTTTTGCAGCCTGTAAAAAGCACCATGTTATTACAATCACATGGGAAATTTACAGATGCATTTAAAGCAAGATGATGATTCTACTTTAGGTTAACAAAACGATCAAAAACGAATACTTACAAAATCTTGTCGAATATCATTGAAGTCTTTGCCATATTTGTCTAATGCCTCCTCGAAGAGGTTTGCCTCGGAGGCAGACCACTCCTCCATCTCGTCGCGGCATAGGACTGGGCCTCCCTCTGGCACAAGGCTGGCAACTGCTTTTGCCAAGTCGTAATTGTGTTTGTGTAACGTGCACATTGCATGAAACTGTACAAAGAAAAGAAAGAATTCTTTAAAATTGTGCTCATTCTACTTTTATTTTTTGTTTGTTGTTTAATGCCGCACTCAGCAATATTCCAGCTATATGATGGCGGTTTGTAAATAATCGAGTCGGGACCAGACAATCCAGTGACTGTCATCATGAGCATCGATCCATGCAATTTGGATCAATGACACGCATCAACCAAGTCAGCAAGCCTGACCACCCGATCCCAAAAGTCGCATCTTACAACAAGCATAGTCGCCTTTTATGGCAAGGATGGGTTGCTGAAAACCTAGTCTACCCCAGATCTTCACTGGTCACTTTTATAAAGATCCTAGTCAACTCTTGGTAGGAATATTTTGAGTAGCTAAATTCTGGCAGATGTCACATGAATAGTATTCAGTACTCCCACATTAACAGCTTCATTCCAAATAAACACAAGCATGAAATACTCACATCCCCCGCGAATATGACATGTCGGGTGTGTGCAATGCATTAGCTCCTGAAAACTATGTTCACAAGGCCTTTTTGTAAAGAAATATAGTACGTTTTTCAAGATCTGCTTCGGAAACGAGGACTACCACCATTTTCAGTCTTAATCAAAGTCGTTGCCATGGAAACCCGAAAAATAACTTTTAAAAAAAATCCCAAACTATCAAAAGGCACCAGTTCACCACTAGACCTATCAATGTGCAAAATATGGTGAAGAAAAATGGTACGGTTTTCAAGATCTGCTCCGGAAACGAGGACTACTACAATTTTCAGTCGTTGGAATGGAAACTCGAAAAATATTGTTTTTAAAATCCCAAACTATCAAAAGGCACCAGTTCACCACTAGATCTATCTATGTGCCAAGTTTGGTGAAGAAATATGGTACGGTTGTCAAGATCTGCTCCGAAAACGAAATGTGACGGAAGGACGGACGGACGGCACCCATTCCTATATCCCCCTTCCACTTCGTGGCGGGGGATAATAAACATAATCACATTCCATGAGTGGGTTGTTCCCAGTAAGAAAAATAACAGTATCCCTATCAAAAGCTGAGTAGGAAACATGCAGTGACATATTCACCAATTTTTTTGTTTGATACTGGCCGTTTATGTTCAAATTGCATTATGTTCTAAGCATTTCAGGAATAGCACATGGATGTAACAATATGAATATACACCAGACTATAGTTGTGTACAAGGGAAGTAACTCACGAGTGTAATGTCCCTGGACGCAGCAGCTGCACTCATGTGTAGACTAGGTTGGCGAACTGTGCTGGTGCAGTCCAGAGCTCTTGCAAATGTACCCACTGACCTGTAATAGTGATGAAGAATGAGCCAATTTGAAAAGGGAGGGAGTGCCATTGAGCAAGAAAATCTGCGCAACGAAGCAACAATATCAGTGATCTTTCTGGGAACAAATGGCATTTTAGTCAAATCTAAATATTTGTTACATTTGTATACTTATCCTGTATTAGTACAATTTAAGGTTTTTAACAACTGTTGATAGGATATTCTTCCATATTATTACAAATTGGGAAAACCAAAAGTAACATCTACCTTAATCATTTAAAACATCCCATAAAAGACCTATTGTGTATGAAAAATGTTGAGTGCATCATAGAAAAAAAAGCAAGTAAGTGAGTGAGTGTGTTTGGTTTTACGCTGCTTTTAGCAATATTCCAGCAATATCACGGCGGGGGGCACCAGAAATGGGCTTCACACATTGTACCCATGTCGGGATTTGAACCCCGGGTCTTCGGCGTGACAAGCGAACGCTTTAACCACTAGGCTACCCGACCGCCCCAAAGCAAGTAAGGGATGTGACACTTGAATGAACAGGTAACAGATGAATCTATGTACAAAGTTCAAAACACCTCACTGGTATTATGAGTAAGACAATCAAAGAACTCATCATTCTCTGGCAGGGATGAACCATAAGTGACAAGTATTACTGCTAAATAGCATACCTGGAAATAATGTTAAACTGATCTACTTCTTTTTCTGCTAATCCATTTTCAGGCTGCCATATTAAATCTTCAAGATCAGCTATGACACGACCATCTTTTTCACCTGAAAACAACAGTAATCTGAATTAAAATTCTGTATTATTCCTGTTGTTATCACACACTGACACAGGAAGTACATCAACAACTGAGTTTTTATCTTGCATGTAGCAACTACAATGACGCAAGTCATGATGAGATCATGCAGTGATCAAGACATAAAATTAAAATTGGCTTGTTTAAAAATATAAATAAACTGCCATTCCATTGCATACATCTATCACAGCCAGGTCACAACAGCTTGCAAACTAGGCCAGACAAAACCATTGTCACAATTGTAAGCAAATATTTTGTTGGTTGGTTTAACTCTGCACTTAGCAATATTCCAGTTATATGACGTCAGTCTGTAAATAACCAAGTCTCGATCAGACCATCCAGTGATTGACATCATGAGCATCGATACACACAATTGGGATATGATGACATGCATAAACCAAGTCAGCGAGCCTGACCATCCGACCACCCAATGCCCACTCTCATCACAGACTTGTGGTACTGGGGGGCCTAGATTGCCCCGACATTATTTACATCTCATTGATGAATGCGAACAGCATTCATGACAAACTTTCCTAGCCCTGTACATCTAATGGGCAGGTTAGAAAAACACAATTGAGAATGAGAAAGACATGTCTTGTGTTGCTGTAGAATATCTGGTAGTACCTACCTTCTTTTAATAATGGTGTAATTTCTGCCTGAAACTTGGAACCCACTCGGATTTCCCCCTTGTCTGCTAAGAGGGTTTTCTGCTGTGGGTCGTAGACTAGTGAGTAGAAAAAGGTATCCTGGAAAGAAACCGAAGAAAGTCAGAGAAGAGTATATACGAGGTTAAACATGTGGCAGTAGAAGACATAATGTGTCCACATGGCAGCTGAAAGAAAAACTGATATTGTCCTTACACTGAGACACTGCCACTCTGTCACTTCAAAATCCACTGACTTCCTAAAAATATGTTTGACATCATATATTCGGACATCACATTGGATTTGACAATAATGAATATCCTCCATTATGAAAAGTAGGGCTGCAACGAATACACTATGAGGCGAATACGATTCGTATCATGAATATAGGGTGATGAATACAAATATTTATTCACGAATACAATAACAAGTCAGCAGTTGATATATTATTTATGATATTAAGTGAAACAATATCAAAATAAATTATTTGACATGGTTTGTTAATCATTAGTTTATTATACATTTATATACTGCACTTATCCAGGAACTAGTATCTGTACAAATGTGACAATGACCAGTGACCACAATACTGTCAAATTAAATATAAAAGAGTGTTGTCTTTGAAGAAATCTATGCACATAATATGTTCTTATGGATATTTTAAGGGCCAGGGTATGTTAATGCACATGACTGCATATTTATAAATATTCAATTAATGAATGGATACAGTTCAATTCACCGAATACGCGAGTGAATCGTAACAGTCCTAATGAAAAGCCAGTGGTATTAACGGAGGAGATACCACAACAGGGACGGTCAGCAACCACCACCTAATAGTGTCTCATTTATCAGGATGGAAATTATTCATATCTACACATACACAATATAGAGCAGTATTATCCACTCTAAAGTAACACATATCTAAAACAAAATACAGAAAGGTGGTGAGTAAATGTGGCTGAATGCTAGGGCTGTAACAAATACACTATGAGGAGAATACGATTTGTATCACGAATATGGGGTAATGAATACGAATGTTAATTCATGAATACAGTAACAAGTCAGCAGTTGATGTATTTTTTGTTATATCCAATGAAACAAAAGCAACACATATTATTTGACATGGTTTGTTAACTATTAATATATTAAACATTTACATACTTCACCTATCCAGGTACTAGAATCTGCTCGAATGCAACAATGACCAGTGACCACAATACTGTCAAACTAAATATTATCATGATTATAAGAGTGTTGTCTTTGAATAAATCTATGCATATAATATGTACTTATGGATATTTTTAGATACAGGGTATGTAAATGAACATGACTGCATATTTATAAATATTCGATTCTATTGGTCACGAATAACTAATTCAATTCATGAATGGATACGGTTCGATTCACCGAATACACGAGTGAATTGTAACAGCCCTACTGAATGCCAGAGTCAGAAATGTTCTAGACTTATCGAGGTGGTCTGTAAATATTGAGTCTGGACCATACAAACCAGTGGCTGATATAATGAGCAACATCCTACAACGTACGATGACATGCAGTCAACAAAGTAACCGAGCCTGACTTCCCTACTCATCTTAATCACCACTTACATAAAGCATAGGCTACTGGGGCCCCCAGGGAGAACAAAAAAGAGGACGGCCAAGAAACACCTGGCGACGGGACCTTGAGGCAGACAGTAAGAAGATGGGACACACCTGGAAACAACTAGAGAGGGCAGCCCAGGACCGAGGACTCTGGCGGACTGTTGTCGGCGGCCTATGCTTCGGGAGGAACGATGGGCATAACTAACTAACTAACTAACTAACTAACTAACCAACTGGGGTCCATTCCTAACACAGGACAAAGGTGTACGCGGGATTGTGTATATATCAGTGTAACCATTTCAATTTTAGTTTAATAACAATAAGATATGAAACAAATCACTCTTACAATCTGACAACCTGGAGGACTTCCTGATTACATCATAAGGAAAAAGATCATAGAAGATACACCACATAGGCTACTTCCCTGTAAATACCAGGAGGGCTGGATGTGGACTTACTAATAGCTACGGTCTGAATCTACTCACTTCTTTATTCAAGTATGAAAGCAGGGACTCTGTCTCATTGAGTAGTGTGACAACACACTTCCCTCGTATGTGTGTGGCTGGCAGGGTCTCCACCTGCCGCGACAGGAACAACTCTCGGTGCTTCAGCTGGTGCCTCTGCTTCTCGGTCACCTGGGACTTGTCGTTCTTCTCAGATTTTTCTGAATTCTCGGACTTGTTGTCGGTCTTATCTGAGGATGTCTCCATTGATCCTTCTGTTGGTAGCTGCTGCTCTGAACCCGTCTGTTTCTCTGTCTGCTTGTCAGATGGTTTTTCAGGCTGTTTTTCGGACTGTTTTTCAGGCTGTTTTTCGGACTGTTTTTCGGACTGTTTTTCAGACTGTTTTTCAGGCTGTTTTTCAGGCTGTTTTTCAGACTCTTTTTCAGGCTGTTTTTCAGGCTGTTTTTCAGACTGTTTGTCAGACTGTTTGTCAGACTGTTTGTCAGACTGTTTGTCGGACTGTTTCTCAGACTGTTTGTCCTGCTGCTGTTCCTCAGTTGGCTGTGGTGACTGCTGTGGCGGCAGTGGCGGGGGTGACTCCTCCTCCTCTTCATCTCCCACATCCATATCAACTGAAACAAGTCATGGGTAACATCAACAACATGGATAAAAAGCGAGGGCAAGTCTGAAAAAACTATTGCATTGCATTCATTTAAGGTGGACATAACTAAGATATACTCAATACCAAATATGAAAAATACCCAACAGTAATGGACACTTAATAAAAGAGTCAAATCACGGCATGTCAGCTTGGAATCAAGCCTGAAATGATGCAGGTCTCAGACTTTTACCACTTTGGTGAAACCCACAAGCACAAGTAAGCTGTAGACAAACCTAGAAACATAATCTGGGATATGAGCAAAAAAGTGTCTATCATAGGGGTTGTCCTCCATGCCCCCTGATCAGTGGGAATGCAGAGCTCCAGATAAGCTTTTGGTGTTGTGGGTATTTTACCCATACATTTTAAAATCATTGGGCAATCATCAGCAATTCTATCTGGGCATTCAAATTTCTGTTACCCACTAGTTTTTACACATGTGGGTATTTAAGTTAAATATTTTTAAACACTATTCATCTAGTCCCTGCAAGCTGGTGTCGTGTGGGTTTGAGAGCATTATAGGACTAAAAAATACCACGATACTTCCACAAGAAAGCGTGATGGCAAATGATCATGATGTAACTGTCATCATGGAGTTTGGCAAGGTTGACGGAATGCCCGTTCATAATTTCAAAATAAGTTGCTGATTTGCTAATCGAATACGCAGTGTTACTTCACAATATTTTGATGATACACACAAGTTTTATTTCTGTAGCGTATCTGTAATGTTCATTGCGTATTTGATACGCTTGGATTTTATTTCACTGCGTATTTCTGATTTCTGATGCGTATTTTACGCAGATACGCAGCTTATCTGGAGCTCTGGAATGTGTTTGTTGTTTAACAGTGAACTCGGCAATATTCCATCTATATGACAGCAGCCTGTAAATAATCATTTCTGGACCAGACAATCCTGCAATTGATGTTATGATCTATGCCACCTGGATGCATTGACATGCCTTTTTTCAGTTCCATTAACTCACTTCTTACAACCAGCATAGGTTGCCAGGTTCCCATTCTAACCCCGTAAACAAACGTGTTCCCAATGTGGTTGCCTCTAACGACTAGCAATGGGGTGCTGGAGACATATGACCAGTTATCAGTATGAAGATACATGGAAACAGTCAACATTATTATTGAAATGCTTCATACAAAACTTGAGCCATTAAGGGACTTTCCACAGCCAAAAGTAAATGCACTTCATATACCGTACATATCCACACACCAGTGTCATAATAATATTTATATACCGGTATCAAATTACAGACCAAACTTTTTACTAAATCAGTAGTATTAACATGAGAGAAAAATGTAATTGTAATTGTAATGCATGTATATTCATTAAGTGACTGAGTGAGTATGGTTTTACGCCGCTTTTAGCAATATTCCAGCAATATCACGGCAGGGGACACCAGAAATGGGCTTCACACATTGTACTCATGTCTTCAGCGTGACGAGCGAACGCTTTAACCACAAGGCTACCCGACCACCCTATATTCATTAAGAGCAGGGTTAACAGTGGTTGCCAAAGTGTGCTAGGTTCAGGTGTTTTGTTGGCTGGTAAAAATTCTTTTAAATTCTGATGTAAAACATTTCAGTTGAGACCAAAGTCAGGAGGTCCCTTGGAATACTAGAAAACTCAACATCGATTAATTCTGGTTAAAGTCAAGCGAGTAAACCAATATTATACCAAAGATACCACCATGTCTGTATCACTTATTCATGAAATACTGTAGCTAACAATACATATTCCATATTAATGTTGCCTCTAATGTCAGATCTGAGATGTAAGAGCTCACTGCAATAAATGTTGTCTCCTAGCCAATAGTCTTCTAGTTTGATATCATTGCAGTAACGTTTGGTATCAGCCTGTTCCAAAATATTGTGCTGAACTTGTGCCTCTGCACCTTCTTCGGTAGGTCTTACACCTCAAATAAGGGCCGTCACACGCTCAACTTACTTTGCCAAAATCTTAGCATACTAGAGTTCTTGACTAGTTGATAGTCACAGACTGTAGTCATGGTACTCTATCAACTGAGCTGACTAGTTGATAGTCACAGACTGTAGTCATGGTACTCTATCAACTGAGCTGACTAGACAGTAACACAGACTGTAGTCATGGTACTCTATCAACTGAGCTGACTAGACAGTAACACAGACTGTAGTCATGGTACTCTATCAATTGAGCTGACTAGACAGTAACACTGACTAGTTGGTAGCAACAGCTTCTTGTTAGCTGGGGCTGTATTTTTTGTCATACAAAAATGACACAAGATATTGTATCGCAACTCAATTGTGATATGTACAGAGAGGTACACCGATTGTGACATCACTAAAACATAGTGATAACAGTGATTTATGGATTACGACATCTTTATGCGATATTTCGGTACAGGTGCTATTACCTAAGCATGTCATGGGATGTCATGATATCAATGCATCAATAATTTTTTAAATATCAATGCAGTATCGATACAAATTGCAAATACTCTATTAATAACTCACTGCCAGAGAAAGCTGTATATTTTATTTTATAATTTTAAACATTTAATGTATCGGTTCACATTTAGCATTAAATTGGTCACATAGGTAAATTTTATCTGTACATACACAATAATTAATGTTATTAATCAATATTTCGTGATACTTTTGAGTCTATGTACCAATACTAAATTTTACAATCAATAACACACCTATTACCATTTTCTTCCTTGCTCTACCAATTCCAAAATTCAAATAAATACCAACCAATCAAAACATTTGACCGGTGAAGTTGGTTGGGCTTTGGGGGTTAAATGTTTCAGGCGAGGTGTTATGAGAGCAACAAGAGGGGTAACATCAAGTCAATCTAAGATAACAAACACCAGTTCATAGGCGGTTGAGAGCATGTAGACAGGTTTGTAAAGGTCACATACATTAACACACATGTACAGTATCTCACATCCTCAACAACCTGGTTTGAGACAACCATACTCCTGAAATAATTCCCAGGCAGCAAGAAAAAAATGTTTCCATGGGCTTCAGAATTGTATATATTTCAGAACTGAAACAGTGGTAATAATCTTCAACCATGGTATTTGGGTGAGTGACTTTGGGTTCATGCTGCTGTTAGCAATATTCCAGCAGTATCACAGCAGGGAACACCAGAAATGGACTCCATACATGGAAGCCATGTGGAGATTGACCCCAGCCTGATAACGAAACACTTCAACCACAACTATCCAATGATAGGATCTGATTCATCTAATCACATTTTTCAGGTAACAAGTTTCAATATTTGGATCAAATATGTTGCTCAATAAATGGCCTATGTCTCCCATACTATCTAGTCATACACAGAGAGTATAGTATTACAGATATTACACCTTTTCTCAGCAAACATTTATTCACTACTGGAACAATTAACATGCATTATCTAATATAAAATAAAAAAGAAAACAGCATTATCACTATCCCCTGCCATGGGGCACATCAGAGATGACATATCTCCCCCACCCCCCCGGCAGCTGTCTGTAAAGTAACCACAAGTAAATGTGCAATTCTGTATGTAATGAGTCAAGAGTTGAATGTTCTTGAAGAAGCATACATTGTTTACCCACAAAAGATCCACCATGGTCGCATCCATATGAAATGGAAAGTAAAACAAGTGTGTTTCTGTGGGATTTTTTTATGCAAACAAATGACAAATTACAAGAAACAACAACTAAACAAGCGTATATAGTCAACGAAGTCATCTATATCCCCCGCCCATTTTAACTCGTTATGGTCCCAAATCAGGTAACTGACACAACATTTCTCTTAGCCCATGTCAAAATAGCTGCAATGGAAATTCTAAAATAAACATTTCTAAAACTCCTCAATATCAAATGGCACCAGTTCTGTATGTGCTTTATATATAGACATGCAATGTTTGGCAAGGAAATATTTAACAGTTTATTTGTTATACTCCATAAGTGAACCCACCCTATATCAAAACTTAAATCCAACTTGTTGCCATGTAAACGTAAAAAATAAAGATTTCTAATATTCCTAAATAGCAAAAGGCACCAGTTCAACATGAGTCTGATAGATATGCAAAGTTTTGTTATAAAGTTTTGAATGGGTTTTGAGTTATGCTCTGGAAACAAACTCTACCCTATAGAACCTAAGTCCAACTTGTTGCCAAGGAAATGTAAAAAAAATAAAAAAAAATAAAAAAATAAAAATTACTAAATAGCAAAAGGCACCAGTTTAGTATGTGCCTGGTAGACACGCAAAGTTTTGTAAGAAAGTATTTAACGGTTTGTGAGTTGCGTTCCAGAAACAAACACCACGCTTATAGAACCTAAGTCCAACTTGTTACCATGGAAACATAAAAAATAAAAATTTATAAAATTCCTAAGTAGCAAAAGGCACCAGTTCAGTATGTGCCTGGTAGACATGCAAAGTTTTGTAAGAAAGTATTTAACGGTTTGTGAGTTGCGTTCCGGAAATGAACACCACCCATATAGAACCCAAGTCCAGCTTGTTGCCATGGAAACGTAAAAAATATAAATTTATAAAATTCCTAAATAGCAAAAGGCACCAGTTCAGTATGTGCCTGGTAGACACGCAAAGTTTTGTATGAAAGTATTTAACGGTTTTTGAGTTACGCTCCGGAAATGAACACCACCCCTATAGAACCTAAGTCCAAATAAAAATTTCTAAAATTCCAAAATAGCAAAAGGCACAACTTCAGTATGTGACAGATAGATTTGCCAAGTTTCGATCAAATACACAGAATTGTTTTCGAGTTCTGCCCTGGAAAAGGAAATGATTATGGATGGACAGAGGGACTGGCTGATCGCTATTTCCCCCTGCATTATATGCCGGGGGGATAAATATTAATTAAAGCGACCAATTTTCAACTCAGTCATGATAAGTATCACTTAGATTCATGTAACTTCAGTAGTTTCTGACAAAACATGGCCCACACACTATGCACTGAGTTGAAAA